CGCAGGGAGGGGGGCACAGGGAAGAAGAAGCCGGAGAGAGAGAGAAAGAAAGAGAGAGAGAGAGAGAGGAGGCGTCATCTTCCGTGAACAAGGCGAGGAGAGTAGATTCATGAGCCAGAATTGCTCAGGGAAAGAGAGAGTCTGGGGAGGCGAGGGGTGTGGGGCCTGATGCCCACCCCTTGCTGTGTCCCGGCTGGGTCAGTGCAGGGCGGGGGGTGGGCTGCAGCCATCCTCCCTCGCCAGCCCCTACTTGGGGTAGCAATGGGCACCTCGCTTCTTTTCTGTCACCCCCCCACCCCCAACTAGCAGCCCTTGACCTTGAAGGCCCTCTTCAAGGACCTGCTCCTGGAGAGGGGCCCATCCTGTTGCTGTTCCCCTGCAGGCTGTCACTGGTTGTAGGCAAAGCATCCTGTACATAGGAGACCCCCAGGATGAGGAATAAATAAAGGACCCTGGGATTCCCGCTCGACGTCCCCCCAGGACTGTGCTAAAAGTGCAAGAACCCGTAACACGAAAGATGTTTCCAAAATGTACCGAGCCCTTGCGATTCTCTTGGCCCCAGCCTCCTTGGTGGAGGCTGGGCTGTGCCTCCCACCGCCGGGCCCCATTGGTGCCCACCCCCCCGGACCCCACAGAGGACGCCTGGTCTCCATAAATCACAAGGGCACTTTTGTCCCAGCTCGACAATATCCGCTTCATCTGCTGACAAAGGCCAGCATTCTCAGGGTGTCAAGACTGGCTTTTGCATTTCACATAACAGATCTTGGAAGGGAAACTGGGGAGGGTGAGGACATTTGGAGCGGTTTGGAAACCCAAGTTCATCTTAGGGAGAAGCCAGAGGGTCCACTTTATACTCCGGGAGAGAAGGGGTTAAAGCAGCTGCAGGGCAGTTCTGAAGGGGCGGGGCTTAGCGAAACACCATCTAGGTGTGAAACCTGTAATAAAACCCCGGAAGCTTGTCTATTGGTGAAGGTGTAAACGGACACCACGTGATTAGAAATACTCCTGCAATTCATTAAGAGACATTGAGATGATTATGTCCTTTGGCCTATTTTATTTCTTGAATTTTCCTTAAGGAACAACAAAAAAACGTTCTCTCTCTCCTCTCCTCTCTCCTTCCGTTTCTCTCTCTCCCC